TAAAAAGGTTAATTGATATAAACTATACTTTCACAAGATATTTCTTGGTATTTCCCTTCTGTATGCGTGCCCAGCACTGATACATGTTTCTTTTGTGCAGATTTATTTTCAGCCAGTGTCTGTGAAAATTCCTGGTCTTTGAAACTCTGAGAATGTCACCTTTTTCTACAAGGAGTGTGACCTTGGGAAAATCATCAAGCCCAGGGGATTTTCATCCTTTCATTGAGCAGATCTCCTGATTAATCTTTTTGTAAAGCACACGGCTTTTGCAAATGCAATTCCTATTGGGGGTTAACATGAGGGACCTCAAAAGCACCTACGCAGGATGCTTCAGAGGGATTTGCAGTAGAGCCGAATGAATAGAAAGTAGACGAAAAAGTTTCAGTTCATTTGGAGAACTCCTGTTCTCCCGCAGTTGTCGGGCCTTGCTAGTTACAGTATGAATTGCTTTATTAGATGAGGAACGGCACACTGACTTCGTTTTCGAAATGTTCACAAACAGTGTAGCACAATTTGTACTGCATTGATGCGCCTTAGCTGGAGCTGAAAGGTCTGAGACCATCTACAATATCACGCACTGATATAAAGGCCAGGGGAAGGCAAAGTAACAACAATTCAGCGCTGCTTAGTTTGTAAGATCATGTCCGCCAGTTCAGATGGCCTCCCTGTTCTGCGGTTATTAACATGTGCAACAACTAATTAACATGTCACATGCCTGTCTGACAACAAAGCCGTTAGTTTCGAAAAGACATCCCAAGTGTTTAATTCCTTCATTTGAAATCAGCAGGGGTTTGTTCTATAATTTGTTAACAGAGAAAAAAGTATCTTCTAGTGAGCTGTAATAGAGAGATTTGTGTATATCTTAGATGGCCTTTTTTAGCAGATAGGATACCCTTTTTTGCAGTATATACTAAAGGCAAGACTACACGTAAATAAAAAGTCAGATTAAAAGAATTAAATGCTGTTCTATTTCATCATCAATTGAATATATGTGAATCTTTCTGTAAGGGTGATTTGTAATTGCTTGCATTTATAGGTGTTGCACTGGCGATGTACAGTATGAAGTTTGTCTTCTTAATAATGGAAGTGCAGGGGTGAATTCACTCAATGACAGGACATGATCTTGATACAGGGCGCACTTGTGTCTTCTGTCGGCTACAGCCAGGCTAGCACCTAAATTGCTCCCTCAGCTTACCACACAGTGAAAGCCATGCAGAGGAGCAGAATTCCCCAGTGAATGCCATCAAGGTTGGGTCCTGTCTTTACTCATTGATACTGTGATTGGGCTACTGTGTGTACTAGCGCTCTAACTGTTCAAATACAGCCTCCTCACTGAATTTACTCCATTTCGGTAAGGTTCAGGTGGGGTATTAATGAGAAGTGCTCAGAGATCCTAAAAATCATTATGAAATGTAATTATTGTATATAGTAGAAAATACAGTTATACCATTTAGCCAATGAATTTGCTGTCATTCATAGAAGAAATTGTAAGAATCATGACTAAATAACTCTGACATGCAACCATTATCGACTGAGATTTTTCACCCAGAGTTTTCAGTATTTCAGGCTGTCACATGAAATATCGAATGCGACAGCAGTTCATCCCTGCCTGTGGAAATATGAAACTGGTCAATGTAATGAGGATTATTTTCCTGTAGGAATTTGATACCTACATTTGGGGGTGCTGGACACATTTGGTGCTGGGAGTGGAAAAGAATCGAAAGAATCTTAAGTCTATTGCATTTGACAGGAAGACAGAGCCTTTTAACATATTTATGTAGTTAACAGTTTACTATTTTAATGATTATCAAAGCACCACCCTGTAAATACACCTTCACAAATATGTTAATTGATAAATTGGGCAATATATCTCTAAAATATTGATATCTTCCGATTTGAGAATGTAATAGTTATTTTTTCCTCAAAAATATTACGCTGTCAGCCATATCACAGCTACAGGCTTCAGTTGATCCAAAACAATCATAGGAAATACCAATGATTACGGAAAGGATACTTTAATTCCTTTGGTGCATGCAAGGCAAAGAAGCAAGAGAAAAAATGATTTGATCTATAGTTTTGAAAATTATTGTGATCTCAGAATTACAATTTGGAAAATGTTTTCTGTACACGGCTGCTTTTTCATTTGTGGCTTTCTGTTGCAGTGCAGTGCAAAGAAAAAAGTAAATTGCAAGTTCTCCCAGGAACTTTGACACTGAAACTTAAATGCCATTGATTGCTTATGAAACACTCACAAAGACTGTGCAGAACAGGAGGGAACTTAAATCAAAAATCAATCGAGCTGCCTGTTTATTTCTTCATTAAGGTTATCCAAGAAAAATGCAAAGAGTGTTGATTTAAGATGAGCTCTGATATTTGCTTAGTAGAAATTAAGTTTTCCACACTGAAGTCTTTCAAGCATTACTACAAATTGTATTTAAATAGTTTAATTGTCCATAGAGATTAATGTGGTACAGTATGTGTTCAATAAATGACTACCCATTCCCTACTATGTCTGTGGAAACTGTTTCAGTTACTTACAGATACCATCTTGGTTGACGTCGGACTCCAAGTTACATCACAGATTAAAAGACAAAAAAAAATCTATTTTCTAACCACTTTGTCTAATTCAGGTTCGTACAGTAGCCGGAGCCTATCCCAGCAATCACTGGATGTAAGGATGGGTACACTCTGGCCAGGATGCCAGCCCATTACAGGGAAGACACAGACACAAATACTCTTGCACTCACACCAGGACCTGTTTTCCCAGAAGCCAGTTTACCTGCCAGTGCAGTCTTCAGACTGTGGGCCCTGAAGAAACCCACGTGAACATGGGGAGAACATACAAACTCCACGCACATTGAACCCAGGGCCCCAGCGCTGCAAGGCAGTAGTGCTAACCACTGCACCACCAAATAAAAATCAAACTTTATAGGCTTATTCTGTTTGGACCCTCAAAGTACTGTATGTGAGGGGAAATATGAGCTACACATGGATAAATCTGAATAATGTGGCACTTTGCACTGAATTATAGCAAGCTTGTTTAAACTAGATATTAAAAATCTTTCTATATACTAGTTGTTTTCATATTGCAGTGCCTGCTTCAGATATTTTATTTCAGACCTTATACTGCAATTCCTAAACTATAGAGATCAGTTTTTTCTATTGTCCTATATTAGGAATCCTCCTACTTTATTCCTAAAATTAGGAATCCTCCTACATTATTCCTAGAAGTCAGGTTTTTATAATTAAATTACATTAACAATACTTCAATTTCTTCAGACTCTTCAGTTCTGGTTTACCTTTAAATTATAAGAATTTCTGAGTGCAATTGTTTTCCAACTGCTGTACTGGTAAAAAAACAAATTGTGCTTATAAGATGCAGCTGTCTAAGCCAATACTCAGTCTCTGCATCTCTGAAGGCCAATGTAATTGCTAGGATGATTCATTTTACAATCTTTTTTGATTGTTTACAGAAATATAATACAAATAGTAAAAAGGAACACTAATCATTGTTTAAAGTTAAAAACATGAGTTTATATCATTATAACTCACTCCTATCGCATTTATTTTAGTACAGACAAACACGTTTAAAACTTTCCACTGTTTGTCGCTTATATACTAAAAAAGTGGCCTCACTTTTTATATCAAGTATTTACTGTATTTTGAAAACAGAGGCTTTAAAACTGGTAGATGCCGGTGATATTAGTTTAAGTATGACTGCTGTCTTTGGTTCTTTTTCTTTTCTGTTTCCTTTGTTCCACTTCTATTTTAAGCTCTGCACTTCTATATAATTACTTTGAGTCCATGTGACTCCTTCTTAGCTGCAAAGAAGCTACAAGGATGAGAAAGAAAGATATCTCTTATGAATCATTTTGGTATTGAATGTGTGGAGTGTGTATCCCTGCCACCTTATATATTTGTCTCAAAGCATTAGTTCCATCAGTTTGAAACTCATGCAGGAGATCAAGGTTTGTAAGGGTTGCAGGCACGGTAATAGTTCATCTTTTATTGCCACCCCGACATGGATACATTTGCATATGTACAATTTATAAAAACCTACTCCATTATGCAGCATGTTTGCAAGAGTAACAAGTGATAGTAAAACAATGTGGAACCCAATACATATGTTTTGCTATTTATTTTGCATGTCCTTTAATTCCAATAACGCAGAGTGACATCTAGAATTAAGAGGCCATTTATAAGTTTTATTACTGGTTTCTGCCAGTACATGCGAGTCATATAAGGCATTGCAAGCTGTAAAAAAATGGTTCTACATTAATCTGGGGGCATGAACTATACTATCAAGTTAGGCATTGGGCATGACAGGGAGTAATCACCTTAATGGTTTGGGAAGTACCTCATTACTGATTTCTGTCAGTTACTATTTGATTCATTATGTTGAAGTTTTTCATTCAGCCTTCCACTGACAGCTTGTTATCTAGGTTTTCTTGCACCATGGTAGACAATTAGATGTTTAATTATTGTGCACTAGCCCACTGCAACTTTTCCTCTGACATTAAATGCATGCTTCAGGTTCTCAGCCTTACCTCCTGCAGGGCAAGAAGGTCAGGGGTGAAGAAATGAATAAATAGCAGCCAGCAAATCCATACATTATTATATATGCACAATGAGAGCAAGAAAGATTCAGAAGTACTGTAAATCATTTACGCTACTAATACTGTGATGCACACAAAATGTAAATGCTAAAAAATGTGGTAAAATTCAAAATCAATAATAAAATACACAATAGTTCTGTTTTACTGTTCTGGCTATTCTTATATATGGAACCACGATCAAATAAACAGAAATATAGGCAGGTTGTGTGAACAGGAAATTGTACTAGCTCAGTATTTTGATCATATTGGCAACTTCTGATGTTGAAAAAAACAAGTCTGTTGTGGAAATTAAGTTTTTTTTTCTTTCTCAGTTGTGTAACATGGGCATTATACTTTAATGGATAAATGGATTCCCAAAACGAATCTTGGGAAGAATTCACTTACCGGTTACCTGTCTCAGTGGTGCTTGCTTTTTACACATATCTCTTGTTGTAGTGACAGGAGCCTTCAGAGAAGCTGCTGCTGAGCTGTACGAATTCTGTGAGAAGCTGTCAGAAGAGGCAGAATTTTCTAATTATTAAGTCATTCAAATGGCCTTTACAGTGGATGTTTGAAAATCCAAACACTCCATTTTCTAATCCCCCAACAGCTTGGAATCCCATAATTACTATTCAGTCTAAAGGTCAAAGGGCTCTGTGTTTGAATAACTTAAGGTTATCTGACTGGAGTATAAACTAGTCACACATTAAATTGTTCCCAAATTCTGTCTATTGAGTCTCTCTGGCTCTATGGGGAGAAAAATATTTTTTTGTGCTGGACATTTCAACAGGATGTAGATGTTATGTGCATTGCTCAGATGTGACCTACCTAAGCATTTAGCAGGATTCATATATCTTGTATGACATGGATTGAATGTACTGTACTGCTGCTGCTATACAGTTGGCTTTGTTGTTTTCTTTTCGCTGATCAATCAATAAGCTTAAGTTTGGGTATAAATTATTGTTCAGGTTTGTCATTAGCTATTCTGTAAGATGAATCTAGTTATTGGATGGCTCTCTCTTATTTCTTTTTAGATTTGTTATAGTACTTTCTTAACAATACGTTAACAAACTTATACTTTACATTAGTCCTCCTACAATTATTATTTTTGATAAGAACGTGTTTTTCTTTCTCTTAATTTGGCATTATCAGTGGTGCTTCAGCTTGGCTCATCGCTTCAGTCTTCCTAGTGGCATTGCAAGACATACAGTATATAGAGAAGATACATTCACACAGACCCCAAGATGTTCTGCCACCATCTTTTTTCTCACATCGAAAATCCACGGTGCAAATATTAGTTTCATGCATGTGATAGAGGACCGAAATAGCTGTCTCTGATGACAAGTGACCCACGGGCCTCAAACATCACTGCTACACAACGAGAGAAGGAAACAATGTCAAATGGTGAATCGCCAAACAGAAGTGTCCCACCTGTGACTTGTGGCTTGGAGAACCTCAATCAGTTATTAACATAGCCCAGATTTTAATCAACATTCTCCTGAGTGTATGTCCCATTTATTAACACTTGTAATAAGTGAACATAAACGCTAATTGCCCTGTGTGTTATCCCTGCTATAACAGATGAGTACTTAATTCACCAAGTCATTCGCTTTATACTGTACCCTCATCTTTGTAAAAACACTTTTTTTCTTTGGCAAATATTATATGCATGATTAATGTAAATTTTGAAACCTTTTTTTTTGCCAAACAGTGGAATATTTTCACTGTGTTGCATTTGCAACATTGAGAATAAAACATCTTGAATTATTTTTGCCCTTTCAAGCAACCTTCAAAGAAGGAGCATGACATTATACAGTATAGTTCAGGTGGGTAGCTGCGTCAGCATGCGTAGGCTGCAAAGGAACAAGTAATAGGTTTATTCCATGCTGAAAAAAGAAGAAAGAGAACACAACGTTTCGGCCCTGAAGAAGGCTCCACGGCCGAAACGTTGTGTTCTCTTTCTTCTTTTTTTCAGCATGGAATAAACCTATTACTTGTTCCATTATACAGTATAGGTACACAATGTCAATTCTTTTTAACATGAGACTCATATAAATACATCAGGAGTATTTATATAAGAGCCTGTTTAATTATCTCAATGAAGCCACCAAAGATCTCCTGACTGATTAAAAGGGCTTATAAAGAGACACAAATTATATGAAGGATTTTCAAAAGTTGTGAGCAAACGCCAGCTGGGAAACGCAGAATTGGATAAATCCTCAGATAATAATTTAAAAAGATAAATTTATAAACGTCCATGCTTCATCAGCGGCTAATCTTGTATTGCACAAGAGTGTTGATAGTACTAATAGATGTTGTGCACTTACATGGCTCAATCAGCTACCACCTTCACTAGGAGTGCAGTTTCATTCTGATAGTGTCATGCTCCCAGGTCTGAGCCTGGACTGTGCCATTAGCTGAGTGTGAGATTTACAAGGAATAGTTTGAGCTGGGTGTATTCGCAGTCAGTCAGGATTTCTATGGGTGTCCATGCTACTACATTGCTAGGTGCCTATAAGCTTGAAGTGGCACCAGTGAGAGCTCTTAAAGTCCCCTCTGTTTGATGTGTTAGCTGTTCTATTTGTGCTCAGAACTGGCAACGTGAAAAAAGAAGCAGATGGCATAGCACAGCATCTTTCAAAGAATGTGTTTTGGGTGTCTTTGTCTCACCCATGCTGATAGGAGTCTTGTAACAGGAAACCATGCTGATAATAGGTAATTCCAAAACTGGGAGTTAAAACAATTAAAGATATGCAATTTCATGTTTAAAATAAAATAATAAAATAAAAGTCATTAGAAGGGATGCTTTATTTAAACACAGCTTCAAAATAACAGTGCACATCATTTGACTGTAATGGAGTGTGCAAAATGTTGTATTAACTTTTTTACATGCTCTCCATTTGTTCTGAGCTATCCAAGATTAATTATGATTCACAGCCTCTACAATATTTTTCCTTAGGTCATTTGTTTGGAATATACAAACAATCTAATGATTCAAGACTGCCTAAATTAAGGCTACATTTCATCAAGAAACACAAAGTCGGGAAGGAAGACTGTTACAGGGAAGCTCAGGAGGCCCTCTTTTCAAGATGGGTCAAGCCTGCTAAGTGCCATTGCAGGAGAGGAATGTCAGGAAAGCCCTGAGACTGGCAGCACACCTCTCTTACTCATCATACCCTTCAAGTGCTGTAATTTCAATAGTTTTGGTTGAACCTCTTCTCGGTGTACAGTAGCTCCATTACTTTTTCTGGTTCACAACAAGACAATGATGGCCAGAGTGTGCTCATAATACCTGTAACGGCCTTTCCTCCCAATGATTCACAACATCAATAACAACACTTGCTACAGACAGTAACCACATTGTCATTGGCTTTGAAACCTATGCAAAGCAATTTCTGACTTTGCTCCATAATGGCTCCTGTGGGGCTCCAGTAAAACAGGATTAATGATCTAGGAGGTGTCCTCCAGCCTGAAGGCCAATGCTGTCAGAGAGCCACTGTGTTTGGGAGTGTAATTAGTTAGAGGATCCTCTGCCCATACAAACTCAGGCATCCCTGCTGATGGCCAATGCACCTGAATGCTGACAGACGCAAACTGAGAACACTATATTAAATCTGAATATATGTAAATCCTTGCTAACTAATTCATTTATGTATAATTAAACACAGACTCTTAATATAGAGTGTTACTGTCTCATGTAGTTAACAGAGCTTTCATTTTTTTTCTTCCTGCCAGACAGGGTCAACATTTCAGACACCCCAGACATCCTTAAGGCTTGTATTGCTCACAGTGCATGGCAAAGCTTGTGGGAAGGCAAGCCCTGTAAGTGCTAAATCACAAATTCACTTAAGGCTAGTCTGAAACACATTGAGAAACGTTTTAAATAATGTTGAGTGCTCCCCCCTGCACTGCAGTGCAGCTTGGCGGCAAGTAATTCATGTGGGGAACTGAGTCCCCCTTCTGGTGGCTTCTGAAACAACAAGTGTGAGGCTCTTGAGCACATTTTGTCAATATAAAGCTCCAGTTACTAACACCAATGTGCTGCAAACACCAGACAAGATTATTAGGCCCATCTTGCTCGTTTGATAATTCAGTAGTTAAGTGTATCTCACATTTCATCCAATCAAATTTCGATTTACAGCTGCTTTCGGAAGGGGCCTCAACCACCTAGCTAAGAAGCCTATTACAGACTCTCACAACTCTTTGTGTAAAAACACATTTCCTGTTTTTCATCCTAAATAACTACTTACTTGCACTACTGACCTGGGAAAGAGACCCATATGCTGAACCTGTCAGTTCCCCTCAGGATTTTGCATTCTTGGATCAAATCTCCTCTCAATCTCCACTGTTCCAGACTGAAGGGATTTAGTTACTTTAACCTGTCTGTGAGGGACAATCCCCTAAGACCAGTACTTATTCCTGTTGCTCTTGTTTGAGCTCTTTCTAACTTATCTGTATTCTTACTGGGTATGGTGACCGAAGCTGCACACAATACAGTATTACATCCCTTGATTTAAATTCCAGTTGTTTTGTTATACACCCTAGTATTCTAGTATTTGGTTTGCTTTTTTATTGTTTCCCCATATTGTATTTATGAGGACAAAGAAGAACAACCATAAGCATCCAAATCAGAATTGCCCATGCAATATTTTCTATTATTGTCTCAGTAACACCTTTGTTACTGCGCCAGTTATCAAAAAGGTTTCTGATATATGCATTGTTTCCTTCAAATCCATTAGGAAATGAATTTCACTTTGCCATGTGTAGGACTCATATTATTACTAGTAGTAACAGCAGCTGAAAAGCTTAGGTATTTTAATTTAATGGATATTAATTGTTTTTACCCATCCAAAATAGATTTTCTTTTATTCCAAAGTGTTTGCATTTTTAATTTTCTGACAATAAAACACATCCACTTTTGATTATAAGAATAATCTAACCAAAACATTTGCCACAAATATTTTACACAAATAGCTCAGTTAGAAACAGAGATGGAATATTATAAATGAGTGGTAATTATGGTAAGACATAAATTAATATGTACTTTTTGTAATGATCTGTATTGATTGTTTTTTTGTACAACAGTGTTACTTAACTAAAAATGTTACATGGATTTTAGCAGTAATTTCTGACTAGTTAGCTTTTATGAGGAATTGGTTGGTATTTTTGAGCACGGCTGAGAACATAGAGTCAGGGAATTTATCCTAATCTGCTTCCAGAATAGGCACTCCTTTCTACATCTCGTACAGATCCAGACAATGGCAGTGTAAGTGGACTTGAAAGAGAATCGGCAATTGATTGTTGCGAGCATTGTATTTCACAAGGGTGGGACAGTGGCGCAGTGCTTGGCACTGGGGAACGTGTGTGTGTTTGAGTCTGTGGGTGCCCTGATGTATCCTGCCTTGCGCCCATTGCTTGCCAGGATAGGCTCCAGCTTCCCCGCGACCCCGTATTGGATAAAGCAGTAAGAACATGGATGAATGTACTTCACAAGTGACTAGAGTGACACAGTTATGAGGGATTCCTTAAGCTTTAAGCTCTCCCAGCATGTGATAGGGTTTTGGCCAGTACTGGCTAAAGTTACAATCCATGTCTCCTAAAGGTGAGGAGGTGAAAATGACCTGGGCTTTTACAGACACTTGAGAAGGAGTATTGCTTTGATGACATTTGATTTTATATCTGTCTGGAGATTAATAATAGTTCAAATGTAGAATTCCCCACTGGGGTTTCACAAAAGAAACAGAGATGAGCATTTTAACAAGAAATTACAAATGAGAGGGAGCCACCCACCATATCCTTGCTGTGTGATAGCCTGCTTCTTGTTGATCCCAGCTATTTTTGAACATCTTGTTCCATAAATTTCTTATGTAGATCATTGGACACTGTTTGGAAACTCAGAACTATTACTGAAGACTGACAAAAAAGTTTAAAAAAATATCCATTGAAATCCATTTAATATCCCCTGTGTTCCTTGACCTACTTATTTCTGAGTTCAAAAAGCTTGTAAATGTCGTCAGTGTGAGGATTTTGAATTAATTAAATCTCTGATTCCAACAAATGACTCACTATTTCAGCTAAAGCACCTATTTCAGGCTAGGCAGAAATTCAAACGGGAATTAGATAACTTTTATGACCACTAACAAGGATTATGGAATGGATATCTCTTTGGTTTACATCTAAAAGCACTGTTTAGATAAACAGTATTACAAATGCTTAAACAAGGGTCAATTAAAGTAAACTGTGGAAGTTTGTATGCTTTGTATTTTCTTCTTCGTTGTTGTTATTTAGTTTAGTTACTTTTTCTATTTGTATTGCCCCAGTAGGCACAGCATGTCTTTAAAATGCCAGGATTAATTACAGCTAATGAATGTTGATCGGTTGCAGAGAATAATCCAATGTCTAAATGAATGGGCCGAGTGGCTTTTCTTTGACCTTGCTTTGAACTGCAGTATTTCTGTCTACAGAAAGAACAACACACCTGTACTGGCAGACCTCTGACTGGAGACACATAAGCATCTTTTTAGGAATGTCTGATTAGCCCCCATTTTGAATGTTTAAATCGTCATATATATGAAGTAAAACCAGGAGCAATTTCTGCCTTTGCTTTACTTCTATGGATTGCTGTTAGTTTTTATGCTGCTGAGAACCTGCGGGCTCATTGTCCAGTGCTCAATGCATCTCAGCTATTAATTCCAGGCTTTCAATTAAAAAAAAAACATTTAGGAGATTACAAAAAATGCATTTAATTTCTTTTCATTTAAACATAGGGAGAAACATTTTGCTGGGATTTCAGATTTACCAATATAATAGTAAGTTTATTTTCATTCTTGAACAGGTGGCTGTCTTCTTGTTGACACAGAGGAAGAGACAAATAAATCAATTAAAATATCTCTTAAGGCAATTGCTCAGCTTTGATGGGGTACATGTGTGATGCTGTATTCAAAAGTGATTTACACACAGTGTCTTATATACAGGATATGAATATATAACCTACAAACAGATTGATATTTCCATTTCCATCCATTTGAAATATTATCAGTCGTATTTTTTAAAAAAACATTTTATTCAGGGCATAGCCACTGAGAACTTCAACACTGCCATAAAATACCAGGCCATTTGCAAAAGACAAAACTAAATAACTGTGAAAAATGTATGTAAAATAATATAAGGACTGAAAAAAGAGTGTACTGTACACATATGTCTGTATCAAATACTCAAATCGCAATTTTATAAAATGCCAAAACATGCTCATCCCATGCCCGCACGCAGCTTCACCAAGGGAGTGATCTCTCTCAACATCGCAAACCAGATGGGTTATTTAGTGTGTCACAGCAGTGCATGAGCTACAAAGAACAGTAGTTTGCCATTCTTATCATCATATGAATCTTTCAATAAAAGGCTGATACAGTATCAAGTAATGTAAATATATTTCTTAATTTTAAAATAATGCTTATGCAGTACATGTGCAGGAAGGTGTTTTCCTATATGCGTCTCGGACTAGTAGTTTGCCAGAGGATCCCTCAGGAATGAAATGGTAAACATGTGAAGATTTGCAACCTCTTTAGAGGAACATATGCCATTAACACTCTGAAGTTCCCTGGCTATGGCAGGTATCATGCTTTGACAATGGGAATAACACAGAAAATCCTAAATCTTTCTTTGGAACACAAAATGTCTTGATCTCCATTCCTTAAGGATATTCCCATTGTCGGGGCTATCCCGGCGTACAATTTTCTCCATTCACTCTGTCGCTCACAAATGAAAGCATAATGAGCATTTTATGACCAAGCTTGGTTGTCATGGGGACCATCTTTTGTGCTGAACGGGGTCTGAAAAAAGGTCTCAAACCTCATTTGTCATTCAGCATAGAGGAATTCAATGAACATGTCTTGGCCACAGTGCTGAAAAGGTTAGGACGAAGCTTTATAGAAAAGGGACTCAAAGCACTGCACGTATCTTTGCCTTTCATGTGCTTCAATCCATGTGCACAAATTCCACGTAGCTGGGATATGCAGGCACACAGGGGGAAATAATAACGACTCTGGGTATGTAATCATAGTTTAGATTCACACAGAATATCAAGTAAAGTAAACCTGACTAAATATTAATCTATACTGAGTTATTACTGGATGTCCAAGTAAAACAGCTATCATCCTATACTAGATAATAATTTTATTTTGTTTCATTTGGAAACTGTTTTCCTCCCTCAACACTCATGGATTTATCTGTACTCTGTGTACTCTGTACACTTGTACTCACATAAAAGCTATGTATTCTAAGATTGCTTTAAGAGTTTAAATACCAGAATGAAAATCTAGGCATGATGAAGTGTTTTGGGCAGTCAAGTTTTAATTTTTTTTTATACAGTCTCATCATGGATTTTTGTTTTAAAATTTTTTGAACTGGAACTTTCATTTGAGTTTGGTATAATTTACCGGTCCCCACGTTTGTAGATCTCAGACATACAGTATTTCCACTGAGCACTTGAGTGGCTCCAATGGGAAAGACTTGGCACCAGAATGCAGGTTGATCTCCCCTGTCTTGGAGATTCTTGGTGCAAACCAGGCCTGTCATCTACAGACTGTCCCAGTGCTCTAATGAGGAAAGTAACTGAGGTTTGCTGTGTTCTAAGCTTGCAAGGTTTCTTTGACTCAGCTTGCACCAGAAGGCTCTTGAATATTCAGTTTCAGTTGGATGAGTATTGATTTTACTCAATACTGATGGCTTCAACTCTAACCAAAACCTTATCTTATGGGTGGGCTTCTCAGAATTTACAATATCCTTTACAAAGTGCTGGTGATTCACTCCTCAGCTGGAGGTGTATCCTCCCACTGTCTAAGATATGAGGAAAATAAGGGTGACAGAATAAACATAGCTCACATGGGGGTTTTACAATAATATGATCCAGTCCTGTATATCATGTGCTGATTTCTGCTGTTAGCCATTAGAGGAACCTGTCATTATAGTTGCTGCAGCTTAAAAAAGTTAAATTTATGAATATCCAAATTATTTTTTTTTAATCAATCACTTAATTTGTCTATTAATTATAGCCTTTCCTTCAAAGCATGTGCTGTACGAGCCATCTCCCATCATTGTGTTCAGTGCCTGCAGCTGAATTGACACAAAATTGAAGACCAGTGTGGTCCTAATACAGTGCAAGGATACCCAGTCTGACCCAGCCCCACTCCCTTCAACGTCACACTTGATCTTGAAGAACTCCCACGGCTGGAGCTTCTACTTCTATGGTTTTACAGAACGACTCCTCTGGGGATTCTGAATGCCACATGAAAACTGCTTAATCTCACCTGTTCAAGACTAAACAGATTAAGCTCCTTTAAGCTCTTTCTGTATGATAAATATTTCAGATCAGGAGGATTTAATCAGGTCACTGTATTTAGGGCTTCTTGTAAAGGAGTGTATGGGAACATGTGGAAGTTAGTTTGTGGTCATCTGGAATGGCTGGATGAGATCTTTGGGTCTTCTAACTACTCCCTTATGGGTTAAGTGGGCTGAGTGGCCTCCTGTTGTTTGTAACCTCTCTTACGTTCTAAAACAACAATAATTTCTGTCATGAAAACTTGACAGTATTTTAAATGAAGACTCACTCATGTGTCAGACATTTTTTTTTACATTCATTGCTAAATTTATATTCTACACAATACATTCTTTGGACAATTTCTGTCACTTCTCTAGATGGCACAGTGGCACAGCAGTTAGTGTTGCAGCCTTACAGCTCACATCCAATCACTCCTTATATAGCTTAACTGCTATGCTGTATTCTATGACGTGAAAATAAATCTGGGAATGTGGTATATAGTGCAAGTAAACAGGATGGTTATTTTTTGTGAATCAAATGGAACCCTGTGCTGAAAGTGTGTTGTTAATAATATTCAACACTCTCATTGAAAAAGGTGCAAATTACATGTGGTATAAAATCCTTGGTTAGTTAGGACCCATGTGGATATGTATTTGTCTACAGATTGAATTAATAAAATTGAATCCATTGACCTTCTTGCATTAAATGTCAGTTTTACTGCCCTGCCAGCTTAGCATTAGCTTTCTCAGTTATACTAAGAAGGAGGAAGCTTCTGTAGTCTGATAAGAAGGTCATGAATTAATAATAATTTCCATCCACTCATCTTGCATCACAACAGACACTAGGAACTATTTTTACTTCAAGTCATTGACAGCATTTTCAGCTGGGAATAATTATAGGGGCGAAGTCGAGAGCTGCTTTCTAACTGATTTACCCGTTTTTCACCAAAACTATGAAAAGAGAAGAAATGGCTGGAAAAGCAGTGGAATGAAATTCACATTAATGTGAGCCCATTCTTCATCCTCTTCCCACATAACCGTGGATTATACTGAAGAATAAATATCTTTGAAAGAAAAAAAAAACATTTGCACATCTGTTACAAAAAAACTAACATTGCTTCTTTGCTTTTGTGTTTCACAGATTCTGGCCATCATATCAATCCTCTTCATTGTATTATCAACGATTGCCTTGTCACTCAACACACTCCCTGAGCTCCAAGACATGGATGAGTTTGGCCAGGTGACAGACAACCCTCAGCTGGCCCACGTGGAGGCCGTCTGCATTGCTTGGTTCACAATGGAGTACCTTCTTCGCTTCCTATCCTCTCCAAACAAGTGGAAGTTCTTCAAAGGGCCCCTGAATGTCATAGACCTCCTTGCCATTCTTCCCTACTATGTAACCATTTTTCTGACAGAGTCCAACAAGAGCGTTCTGCAGTTCCAGAACGTCCGAAGGGTGGTGCAGATCTTCCGCATCATGAGGATCCTGAGGATTCTCAAGCTGGCTCGACACTCCACCGGGCTACAATCCTTGGGCTTCACCTTGAGGCGCAGTTACAATGAGCTGGGGCTCCTCATTTTGTTCCTGGCCATGGGGATCATGATATTCTCTAGCTTGGTCTTCTTTGCCGAGAAAGATGAGGATGACACCAAGTTCAAGAGTATCCCGGCCTCTTTCTGGTGGGCTACAATTACCATGACAACCGTAGGCTATGGGGATATTTATCCCAAGACTTTGTTGGGAAAAATTGTAGGGGGGCTGTGCTGCATTGCTGGAGTACTGGTGATTGCCCTGCCTATACCCATCATTGTAAATAATTTCTCTGAGTTCTATAAGGAGCAAAAGAGGCAAGAAAAGGCCATTAAGCGAAGAGAAGCCCTAGAAAGGGCAAAGAGGAATGGCAGCATTGTGTCCATGAATATGAAGGATGCATTTGCTCGCAGCATAGAACTAATGGATGTGGTGGTGGAGAAAAATGGAGAGGGCATGGGAAAGAAAGAAAAGGTACAAGACAACCATCTTTCCCCCAACAGGTGGAAATGGGCCAAACGAACGGCTTCAGAGACCAGCTCAAACAAATCCTTTGATGTTAAAGAGCAAGGATCTCCAAACAAGGCAAGACCTTGCTCTAGCCCTCAGCACCTTAACGTACAAAAGCTGGAGGAAATGTACAATATGATGGCTAAGACTCAATCCCAGCCCAACCTCAATACCAAAGAAGGAGGTCCGTCCTCAAAAGTGGGCAGACAAAGGGACGAAATTGAGATGGGGAGCATACCAGGTCCGGCAGATCCCTTACTGGCCACGCCTGAGGGCATAATAGACATGAGGAGCATGTCCAGCATTGACAGCTTCATCAGCTGTGCCACTGACTTTCCCGAAAGTGGGCGATTTCCTCATAGCCCCATTGTTAGCCTGCCTGGCAAAGTCAGCGCCAACCCTTGTCTGGAGACAACCCATGAGCATGAGGCCATGCTGTCCCCACAGGGTATTACCAAACTTCCTGCCAGGGGTAGCTCCATCCTTGAGATTAATTCCAACCCTGATTCTCAGCGACGCTCCTTTTTCATCGACAGTCCCAGGAGCTCACTTACATTCACAAACCCCTTGAAATCAAGGTCTTTGAAAGTCAACTTCCGAGAAGGCGAAGCTTATAAAATGACACCAGCCCCGTTTTCCTCTGTCGGTGACTCCCTAAAAAATGTAAGCAATGCTCCTCTTTCAGACAGCTCCTTATTCTCAGACCGGTCACTTCTTAGCCCTGAAGTGTCGATCTATACCACAGCCAGCAGCAAGACTCCTCCAAAATCTCCAGAGAGCATTATGCCAACTGTGTTTACCTTCCATGACGCATCTATTAACAAATACATTGACGCTGACACAGATGAGGAGGAACATCTGCAAGATGGCTCAGATTCTAGCCCGTCCAAGCGACTGTTGGGGAAGGCCAGCCCGAAATACAATGTGAATAGTGGGTACCAGAGAGGCATCAACCACTTAGAAGTCTCTGCCATGGGAGCACCACAGAGACTGATAGGTCAGAACTGCATTTATCCCATCGAGAGCAGGGCTGTTCCGGGCAGCAGTCAAGATGGCAGCAAGGTAGAGAACCATATGGCACAGGAAATCCGCGTGTCAGCCGGAGAGAGGAGCCGCTCCAACACGTACGATGAAACCATCTGACTGCTTCGAGGCCGGTGACAAGAAGAGTGGACTTTCCCAAATTGAAAGGAATGTTTGAATCTTGAAGGAGCTTTACTGCATGGCATAACAAACCTTTGACCAAGCCACAGGCATGGAAGAGGGCTCTTAAGTGAGCCAAGAATATTTGCTGTTTGGTTCCCAGACAACGGTGTTGCTGAAGACTCCTTTTGGATTGCTGTGAGCTTACCAAGACACTAATTCTCCCCTCTATCTGCATTTCCATCTACCATTCCCATTCTGTAGACCCTTGAACGAGGTACTCCATAGTACCGATGGGCAGTTCTGTGCAATCCTGCAGTGTTAAACCAGGCCTACAATGAGGGGAAATCTTTGTTAGTGGGGCAGTGGTTCTGAGTACTTGGGGAACAGGAAAGATGAAGGGGGGAGAAAGAGAACCTCAGCATTATTCTTTGATTTGCTGCTTGTCCCAAGGATGATCTTCCAGGCTTTCATTCTCCTGCTGTTTTGTTGATAAAGATAAATTACTGCAAAAACAGATTACATCTAAAAAAGTAACATGCATTTTACTTCCTTGGAGTTTAATATATTCCCTTCCCCGAATCTGGACTTAGACAAATGCATGTGTCACATTTGTGCATATATATACACATATGTTTATGTATGCATATGTTTATATATATATATATTTTCCCTTCAGTTTGTATTTGATTCGTGACTGCTTAGTATCTACAGTTATCAAATACGTACAAGACCCGATTCAGGAGAAAAGAAATTGCCTAAGAGAGGGAAATTTAAGGGGAAAGCAAATTCACTATAACCTGCTGTTCAAAAACTTTTATGTCCACTACTGCATACCAGAGCACCTCAAGTATTTACGTTTTTAATTAAAGTATTCAAATGTAATTTCTCTGGATTCCTCCCCCATCTATTTATTTGTTCAATTAATAAAGCAGTAGATAGATGTTAAATATGCATTAAAAACAGAAAGGAATCATTAGTTTTCAATACTATACAGTATGTCTCAGTTATGTGTTGTCTCTTTCATTTCCTTTCATTTCATTGCTTTAAACTGGTTTATGTTCAAATCTTCACTCATATTCCACAAATGTGAAAAACACTACAGTATGGAAAGTCATGTGAAACTAACGCATTCATCTGAGAAAAAAAAATACTGTAAAAATTCAATTTCTATAAAGCACTTAAAACTGGTTTTGAGAAGTTTCTAATTTGTAAAATATATGTAAAGTTGGGTGTTGAGGAAATATTGCTGGGTATAAAAAAAGAACTGAAATGTATATTTTTTAAATATTTTCTAATAATCATACAGGTCATTTTTTTAACTTCTTTAATTGGGTTTTGTTTGAAAGGCAAAACGTAAATGTAGAGCAATGTGAGTAATTATTCTGATCTCATAGTTTAAGTTGCATTTAAGGGGGTCATCTTTAGATAGGTATTAAAGGTTGTGTTATTTAATTTTAGATTTTTTCCTGTTGTGTGCTTACAGTAAATGTTGTGCACATTTGCTTCCACCATACTTTTTATAAATTAAGGAGCCAAAGAAATTTCCTTTCATCCAGGCGACAGCACGAGACTGAGCACTGAGCCCTGGCCCCATTCATCTGACATTCATGTCTGATCAAGAAAAATCCCTTTCTCTTGATATCGCGCAGTGATTCAGAAAGGAAGTAGCAGACAGCCACTCCAGCTGGTAAAGCACATCAGCAAAAAAACATATGGAGTGAAAAAGCACTTTGAAAGTGTGGGAGGGCAGGTAAGAATGAGAATGTGTGACCTGTCACAATCGGAAAACGAATACAGATCTGCACCTCATGTTACAGTAACCGACTAGGCATCTGGATGAGACACCCTTCTGCACCCATTTGCAGCCCGGCAGTGAAGGTGCTCTTATTTGCAGATCACAAGCAGCAGGACATTCTCAGCTGCCTCCTACTTCTAAAGCCATCAAGGTGAAATGTATAAATGGAATAAGGGATGTGGCTTAGACTTCACCATTGACATATTTAATCCCTGCCTCATAATGTAGAAATGTATTTTCATAATAACCACAGGCTGACATTATGTTTCAGACTGTTCTTAGGTCAGCTTATTTTTCTTAAAAAGAAGCCCATATCCTCAAGCACTTTATAAGATTTTTGTCTTCTTGTTATTATATATATTTCTAGACATATTCTAGACACAAAAGCCTCTAACCGTAGCAGAAAAAAAAACTTTAGAAACAATGAACTGTGTTTTGTTTTTCCCCAGTTTCTTTATACTCCTTTATCAGCTGACTGTTTATGAAGAGGTTTCTGAACAAACAGTAGATGTTTTGTGCCTTTCCTTTTGAGCAAGTTAGAAATTGGATCACTCTTTCGCTCTGTAAAAAGCCTGCCTTTAGCCTGAGATCAAGAGAAGAAGCTGTGTGAGAAAAAAGAAAACAAATGAACAGAATAAAGCAGCATAATGTGATCTGCCGTAAGCATGAGGAGCACTATACACACAACCATGGGTTTTAGGACTGGAAGGAGCCTTCATGGTCGCCATGGGGACCACCACTATGGTGGAGAGGCCTACTGAAACCAGCCAAAGCATAAGAAGGGAAAAGGAAAACATGGTGTTCTCTGCTGTAATATTTGTATCTAATGTACATTTTTGTCGTGAATGAAATATACCTAGTGAACTGATAGTGAAAACAGAGGTGAGAAATAAATGGAAAAAAATCCAGGGTAGTTCAGACATTAAAGCCACACAGGAGTAAATTCTGTTATTGAAAACATGTTTTTAAAAATGAAAAGTATTCAGAAGATGTAGAAATAACCAATGAACTGCCACCTGAGAGCATGTCGCCGAGAAGGAGGCTTATCCTAGCTTCCTTTGTTTGTAATCAAAGCAAGTCAAATTGACTTCAGCTTTAAGGTTGAAACAGGTTGTTTTGTTCTGAGAGACGGCTGGATTTTTAAAGTGCAGAATTTCGTTACCTCTGTTGGTTCCCGTTTGCCATTCAGTCAGTATTTTGTTTGACTTTATTGAACACTGGCGTGGTGTGCACGCACCTCAGAGTAGTCTATTTTTATGTTCAGATGTATAAAAATAATAATCAGTATTTTCAGCAGATTTTTATTAGGAGCAAATATGTAAAAATAAGTTTACCTTATTCTCTTTTTGTATTATGAATAATGGATTAGTTAGATAACTAAATAACAGTCGTACATATCACATAGAGCACTTGCTGAACATCACAGTTTTTCTTTGTTATTGTTTCCTTTTCCTTCCTTCCATGATAATTCTCTGCAAGGGTCTTTGTGCTGTGATGTCACTTATAGTCTTGTGTGCTTTTGTACATATGAGGATGAGTGACAGCTCCATCTAACTGGGGACTCATTTCACATTATTATGAGCTGTAGGCATGGAAGGGAACAAAATTATATCATTCTATATAGAAATGAAAGAAATGCCATTCTTGAGTGATAAAATACAGGGTCACATTTTCATGATGAGTTTCCGGTAAAAACAAAAGAGGATGTAACCTTGCATCTTTTTATACAACTGGGAATTTAAAATTATAGTCCCAGTGAGTATAAAAATAAGGATCACTTTTGAAACTAAATCATAGTCTATTCCTCTGCAGCAAATGTTTAACCCTTACTGGTACTACACGTTAGATCGTTGAATTTTGTGAATGTCTTTGAGGAGGTTTTTAAAATGAATTTTGTATCTTTTTATTTAATTAAGTTATACCTTTGAGAAGCCACCATTTATGGTTAAAGATGGCTAACCTGTATCTTTTTCTCTCTTTTAAAAAAGTAAAAATCACATTTTCTGTGTTTCCCAGTTGTACATGGAAGCTGGATCCCAGTTGTCTGAATACTTTCTGGTGTAACCTAACTTTTAAAAGTGCTGCTTAATTATTTCAGCACATGGACAGCAACATTTTGATATTTGTTTTTGTAGTGAGAATAAGGTTCAAATAGGGAGAAAGACAATTCCATTAAATAATGACAGATGCAGATGTTGTCACCTTTGTTGAAATAACATTTGCTTTACATCTTTAATGTTTTCTTTTTTATAATACTCACATTTTGTACTGCAAGAACAGTCTCTCTTTTTATCCCAAGCCCCAGCATTCACTAATAGGAAACAAAGGCCTTCAAAGCTAAGGTAACCCGTGTTGGAGAAGATACAAAACAGGGACTGCTTTTGTTGTAGGTACCTCATGTTAAAGATAAAACTATTTACAGCTCAAAAAGAGCCCACTGTGGTTTCTGCTCAGAACAGGAACAGGCTGAAAGCAAATTGATAGAAGTATAATTATCTAGATTCTCAACTCAAGCCATCAAAGTCCACAACCCAGCAGTTTCTCTACTGTACAGTATATCTCCTTAAGCTATAAGCTGTTCTTTACATGGGGGAAATGTTAAATGAATCCAATTAAGGTTTAATGCGACCAGTTTATCCTTTCTCCAAAGCCTTGACAATTTAAAAACACATAGAAAACCTACAGTATTCAGACAACAAGGTCAAGGGTTAGAAAACATCAGGCAAAACTCCAAAGAGCCCATTCCCCTGACCTTAGCCCCACAATATGCTGAGGGATGAGTGCAGCCAGGATAAATGTTCTATATGGAGAAGATGATGCCTGTCTTGACACAAAGAGATAGCAGTACACTGCCAACATGCAGCAATGAATGGGGTGCTGTTGAGAGAGGTTTGCAAGACATCCAGGATAACAACCCTTTGCTTTTTCTTTTAAATCCCCCAGAGGTGAAAAAGCAAAGGAGTAAAACAAACATGTTTTGACTTTGCGGTCTTTCTCTGTCTTTTCCCGAAAGGTGTGTAGCAAACGGTGTTCTCTGTTGTATTTTCCTTTGAAACGATTAATACATTCATATATGAGTCAATAGGTTATGTTGAGGTTTTTTTCTGTCTTGAAGGCTTGAATTCTACCAGAATGTAGGCCCTGCCTACAAAACTCCAAGCTTGCAAACTAAGAATTGTAATAACTGGTTCAATCGAGTTGAAAAAATAAATTTTTAGTACAAAGAACTCAGTCATTTTTCATGCATTCACTCCCTTCACTTACCTCCCTCTTGTAGCAAATACTCACCTTGTTCTTTTTAGGTGAGCAGAATGTGCCAATGGCAGAAAGGTCAAAGCAGGTTTTAAATGGGTTTTCTGATCTAATAATACATCCAACAAGCTATAAATAGGTGTCTTAGCCTGCCAGAGAGGAAGTGCAGATAGACTCATGAGGTTTGGTTTCAGAAATGTCATTGCCCATTTGTGGGACAGCCGGTTTGACACAGAGGTCTTGAAACCAAACTTCATTAGGATGTCCAAGTCTCAAGTTTGTGTTGATTTTGACTTGCTGAGGCCAGTTTCTTTCCTGATCTTGTAAATCCTGTCAGAGTACTGGAAATTCCTACTGGGTTTTTGGAGTTATTTTGAACTGTGTAAGCTACGGAAAATAATTATGATTCATCTTTTAAATATTTCCAGTGTGCAATAAATTTCACACCTAAAAAGGTATGTAGGATTCAAGGATTATTTATTCATTATTTATCGCTTCTTGTTTTTCCCATGCAAATCCTGCATGGTCCGTGAAATGAAACTGGAGTCAGATGGATGTTTCAGTTATACTGTAGGATTCCTCCTCTTCCCTCTGAAATAAAGCTTTCTCACAAGATTCCTAAAGGAGCTCTAAAGGTTATGCACTGTATGAGGATCTGTGTTCTGTCCCAACAATGCAAGAGAATTATATGTGGGAATCCTGCAGGAACTGCTGTGTGATGTATGACAGGCACTTTAATTTCCACTCAGTTTTATTATAAAAGGGTTTGCTGCTCCTAAGAATAAAGCACTACCATTAACTATTATTATTTACTACTCATGTGCAGTCTTTGATTAGGTTTGTCCCTGGAAAACAAAGCCCACAGAAAGTGCATTTCTTTGTATTTAGTGGTGTATATACGTGTTATCTACAGTTGTACTATTGCAAAAAGAAAGAGTCATATATTCCTGATTACTGACAAAGAGTCACTGTGTGTTCAGAAGGTCTCATATGTAGGACACAATCTTTTATCATGGTATCCACATAGGGTCACAACTTCGGACACAGTCAACACAGCCCTTAGTTAATCCAATAGCAGGTTATTGATTTGTGAAGGAAGGAAGCAGTTTATTTAAGAAGGAAGGTGATTCTATGATTCAG